CGAGTATTCTCCATCTAACTGGACTCTCATTGTCCTTTTTGTTAGGAAGTTTGTTAACCAGTCATGGATTTCTCCTCTTATTCCGTATTGATTGAGTTTGTGTAGGAGTCTATCATGGGGAACAGTGTCGAATGCTTTCGAGAAATCCAGGATTGCTACGTCTACTTGATGACCCTTGTCGTAGGATAGTAACATGTCGTGTATGGTTACAGCGAGTTGGGTTTCGCAGGAATATCCGGACCTGAAGCCGTGGTTCAAGGATGTTAATATTTTGTTGCATTCCAAATGTTTCATCATTTGTCGACATATGATATGCTCTAGTAGCTTGCAGGGTACTGATGTTAAGGAGACTGGTCTGTAGTTTTCAGCTGCGTGTCTATCCCCTTTTTTGAAGATACACGATATGTTTGCGCTGAGCCAGTCTTTTGGTAATTCCCCTGTATCTAGTGATTTTTGGTATATAATCGACAATATTGGTGCTATTTGGTCTGCACATTGTTTCAGGACTCTATTTGGGATGTTATCGGGTCCGGCTGCTTTTGATGGATTGATGTTTTTAAGCAGTTTTGCCACACCTTCTTCTCTGATGATGATTCTTTTTATTCCTGTTTTTAGGTTGATGTTTGTCAAGGGCATTGTTTTTACTTTCCCCTTTGTGAAGACTGATGAAAATTGTCTTAGAAGGATCTTTGCTTTTTCTTTGCTGTCATTGATTAAATGCCCTTTATCTTTTAGGGGTGCTACTCCGATGTTATCTTGTTTGCGAGATTTAACATATTTCCAGAATGGTTTCGAGTTGTTCTTATCCATGCCTTCCAGGATTGCTGTATTTATGTAGTTCCATTCTGCTTTCCTGATTTGTCTTTTGCATTCTTTTTGGTGGTGTTTATAGTTTGTCCATGACCCTGTTCTTTTTGCTTGGTTGTACAGGTTTTGTTTCTTCTTGATCATCTTTTTGATTTTGTGGTTGATCCATGGGAGCCTATTGTTGGATTTTATCATTTTTGTTGGTACGTTATATTTTAGGCTGTTGAATGGGATGGTTTTGAATGTTTGCCACATATTCTCGACGTCTTTGTTGTTCGTATCCAGATCAATCAGTAGGTCTTTTGTTTCTCCAAGGTCTTTGTTTAGTCCTTTTATTAGGCCATAATAAAAATATTCCTAGATTCTCATCCCCGCCCGCCCCGATTTTATACCCCCGCCTCGATTTTTTTTATTTCTGTTTTTCTTTATCTTAATTCTGATCGGGATCGGTATTCATCTACCATTCTACTTTCGTTTTAAATCCCGCGAAAGTTGACATGATTTTGACAGCTGAAAAGATGTTAATTGCTGTAATACATGCGAAATTATTTTAAACAAGGGTCATTGGTTGAAAAAGATTGGTGATGATGTGAAGTAAGAGATAATTGAAACTTTACTATGACTTTTATTCGGGTATTGTAGATAAAATTACACCGATTGACCAGGTCAATAAAAAATCTGCAAAATTGAAAAAATATAAAATATAAAATAAAAGCCGCCCGCCCGCCTCGATTTTTAAAAAAAATCGGATGAGAATCTAGCAGTTTATTTATTATGGCCTTACCAGTATAATATATCTTGATACATATTTTTTCTTTGCTCAAATATTTTGATACATTTAAGAAGTGAAGCTTTTTAGCTCACCTGAGCCGAAGGCTCAAGTGAGCTTTTCTGATCACATTTTGTCCGTCGTCCGTCCGTCTGTCTGTCTGTCCGTCCGTCTGTCTGTCCGTCTGTAAACTTTTCACATTTTCGACTTCTTCTCAAGAACCACTGGGCCAATTTTGACCAAACTTGGTACAAAGCATTCTTGGGTGAAGGGGAATTTAAATTGTTAAAATGAAGGGACATATCCCCTCGCAAGGGGAGATAATCAAGAAAAGACAAAAATAGGGTTCGGTCATTAAAAAATCTTCTTCTCAAGAACCACTGGGCCATTAAAGCTGAAACTTATGTGGAAGCATCCTGGGGTAGTGTAGATTCTAAATTGTACAAATCATGAACCCCGGGGGAAGGGTGGGGCCACAATGGGGAATCAAAGTTTTATATAGAAATATATAGGAAAAATCTTTGAAAATCTTCTTCTCAAGAACCACTGGGCCAGAAAAGCTGAAACTTATGTGGAAGCATCCTGGTATAGTGCAGATTCTAAATTGTTCACATCATGACCCCCGGGGGAAGGGGGGGGGCACAATGGGGAATCAAAGTTTTACATAGAAATATATAGGAAAAACCTTTTAAAATCTTCTTCTCACGAACCACTGGGCCAGAAAAGCTGAAACTTATGTGGAAGCATCCTGGTATAGTGTAGATTCTAAATTGTTCACATCATGACCCCCGGGGGAAGGGTGGGGCCACAATGGGGAATCAAAGTTTTATATAGAAATATATAGGAAAAATCTTTGAAAATCTTCTTCTCAGGAACCATTGGGCAAAAAAAGCTATGTGCCCATGGAAGGATCATGGGGTAGTGTAGATTTCAAAATGTCTAAATTATGATCAGTGGGGTAGGGTGGGGATGCATTATGTATGACGAGGGGGAAATCTGGTAAAGAACAGAATGGTCAAAGCTTCTCAGGTGAGCGATGTGGCCCATGGGCCTCTTGTTTAGGTCACCTGAGCAAATTAACATGACCTATTTCTATATGTTTTCATCTGTCATCGTCTGTCGCACGTCGTTTGTTGTCAGTCGGTCGTAAACTTTTGAACATTTTCAGCTTCTTCTCTGGAACAATTGCATATAGCATCTATAGGTGAAAGGGAACAAAAATTGTGAAATTCATGGCCCCTGCCCCCCTGGGGCCTGAGGGTTGTGGCCAAAACCACTAAAATTAATGCAATCTGTAAAAATCTTCTTCTTTACTCCTGGACATCAAGCAGTCAAACTGTTGGCATTATTGTGATCAGTATTGAGTCCTCTACCAAAATTGTGAAATTCATGGCCCCAGGGTCAGGGGTTCTAGTGCTAGGGCGGGGCTATATAGATTATATATTGAAAATGCATTATTTCTTTGAAAATCCTCTGCTCATGGATATTAAACAAACTAACTGAGTACAAAGTTATGATAACCAAGAGTGCCTCCTCCAAAATTGTGAATTTTATGGCCCCAGGTTCAGGGGTTGTGGTGTTAGGATGAGGCTCTATTGATTATAAAGTGAAAATGCATAAATTCTTTGAAAATCTTCTTCTCTGCTTCTGGGTATTAAATAAAGTAACCAAGTACAAAGTTATGATGAACAAGAATTTCTCTTTAAAAATTGTGAATATCCTGGCCCCTGGGTTGGGGGTTCTTGTGTTAGGGTGGGGCTCTATTGATAATATAGTGAAAATACATTTATTCTTTAAAAATCTTCTTCTCTGCTCCTGGGTATTAAATAAACTTACTAAGTACATGATTATTTTGAACCAAGAGTGTCTCTTTAAAAATTGTGAATTTTATGGAACCTGGGGTTTTGGTGTTAGGGCCAGACTGTATTGATTATGTATTGAAAATACATAAATTCTTTAAAAATCTTCTCTGCTCCTGGGTATTAAAACAATGAACTATGTACATAGTTATGATGAGGAAGGATGCTTCTTCCCAATTTGTGAATTTCAGGGCCCCTGGATCAGGGGTTCTGGTGTTAAGGCAGGGCTCTTATGTCAGTGAAAATGCATGAACAGGTGAAAATCTTTTCCTTTGCTCCTTGGTATTTATGCCAATGATCTTAGTACATATTTATGATGAAGGAACATGCCTCTTCCAAAATAATTAATTTCAGAGCCCATGGGTCAGGGGTACCAGGGGGAGGGGGGTACTTAGTCTAAAAATAATTTAATGCTTTGAAATCTGCTCTTTGGTTTTAATCAACCTTTTATGATGAAATAAAATTTATGATAAAATTTCCAAAATTTTGAAGTATATGGCCCAGGGTCGGTGGTTCCTGTGGGAACTGGTGGTTATTACATGATACTCAGGTGACCTATAAGGCCTGTGGGCTTCTTGTTTAACCTATGTTATATGTTATAATATAAATTGGTGTAGTTTACTTTTATTAATTGCAAAACGGTTTATAAAAAAGTGTAAACTGAAAAAAAAATTATGTTGTATTGTGGATTGACAGGAAAAGAATTTGTGATATATATTTTAGATATAGATTAATTGATAGAGAACATATTTGTGATAAACATTTTATATAAATATTGACACAGAACACATTTGTGATATACATTTTATATATAGATTGATAAAGATGACTTTTGTGATATACATTTTATACATAGATTGATAGAGAAACATTTGTGATATACATTTTATATAGAGATTAATAGAGGAATCATTTGTGATATACATTTTATTTATAGATTGATAGAGATGACTTTTGTGATATACATTTTATATATAGATTGATAGAGATGACTTTTGTGATATACATTTTATATATTATACTAAGATTGATAGAGAACACATTTGTGATATTTAATTTTTATACAAAGATTGACAGAGAAACATTTGTGATATACATTTTATACAGAGATTGATAGAGGAAAAAGTTAGTGATATACATTTTATACAGAGATTGATATAGAAATATTTGTGATATACATTTTATACATACATTGATAGAGTAAACATTTGTGATAAACATTTTATACAAATATTGATAGAGAACAAAATTTGTGATAAACATTTTATATATAGATTGATAGAGGGAACATTTGTCATATACATAGTCATTTTATATATAGATTGATATAAATATTTGTGATACTGTAAAATCACATATTTTCGTGGGGTCAAATTTTCGTTGTTTGAGGAAAAACTCTTGGTTCGTTAGGATTTGAATTCGTGGATTAAAAAAGGTTGACTACATAACATGCAAAATTTTACATTTCGTGGTGGACATGAATTCGTGGGTCTTTTCATACCTCGAAAACAAAACTATATCCCCCACGAAAATTAGTGATTTCACAGTATACATTTTATACATAGATTGATGGAGGAAGCATTTGTTGTTAAGGATCCTTTCAGTGCAGATGGAGGAATGATTACATTGGGGTCTAGCTGTTGTATTTGTGGAGCCAGAGTATGTCTGTCACAGGTACTCGTAGATATAATTAATAATAATATCTTACATGTCAAATTAAAAATATCAAACCTGTAAGTTTAAAAAGAGCGATATCACTAAATGGCCACATTTCACCGAAAAAAAGATCAATTTAGCAGTTGGAAATAAATCAAACTACAATGTACAGAAAATTCCCTGAGTGCATGTTACTTGTTTTGTTTTTCAGGGTTGCAGTTTATTTTACACTAAACGCTTTTGCCTAACTTGTGTAAAAAGAAACATGAAAGAATTCCCAAAGGAGATAATTGAGGTGAGATTTAACTTTTTTGTGTAATCGTCTTTCAGTTGAATATTTTTTTTCTTTTTATTTTCTAGAATTGTAAAAAAATCTCTTCAACATGTATTTTCAATAAGGGTTATCTATCTTTCCACAGTGTATGTAAAGGCAATATCAAGCTGAAGAGAATTTGAAATGAATATAATGTAATGAAATTTTAATGTAAGAAGGATAAGAAACATTGCCGATTTTTTTTCCAAGAATTTTTTCTCCCGACTTAGATAATAGATAATATACGCAATTTTCATCCACTATACATGTTTATATTTGCATTAAACAATTTTGAAGACCCATTTTTATTCCAAGGGGTAACAGTTATTTCATGTCATGTCAAAAGATAACCATCTCTTTGTTTCTAATAAATTTCTGTAGTAATATTGACTGTCAAAAAATTTGCATTTTTGAAGGAAAAGATATTAAGATTACCTGTTACAAAAGCCTTTTAAATATTTTAACTCCTGCCTGAAAATGACCCATTACTAGTAAAATATAATCTTTCTCAGCCAATATACTGATCATCAGTGTTATCTTTAATTAAAAATAAGCATTATTGTGGCAACGGACTTTGAAAAAATTACACACTTTGGAAAAAAATTTCAAAGTGCGTTAAAATTGGGACTAAATCAAGGCACTTTGAAAAACAATTTCAAAATATGTTGATTTTGGGACTAAACCAACGCTCTTAGGAAAAAAAAATCAAAGTGCGTTAAGAGTGTACATCAATTATTAAATCATTGAGACACTGAACGCACTTCGAAAAAAAAAATTGTATAAAATTCAAAAAATGGACTGAGATTTTAGTAATACATGTAGACTGTATTATTTTGTTTTGTTTTTTTTAAATATTTCTTTCGAAAAGGTGGTGAATTGGTTTACCCCCATCGAGAACAAGATGAAGACAGGTTGAAGACCCCAACTCTTTATCTTTCCTACTCAAATATATGTATTTACAAAACTGGTATGACATTAGGTAACTATAAAAGATTAAATATTGAGATAGTATTTCCTGGAAAAAATGCACCCTTGATATTACGGAAAATAGACCAAGGGACCGTATCACTGATTTAAGCAACAATTGCCAACTAACAATATGTTGGCCAAAGTACCTTTATAAAATCAAGTACAATACAAAACAAAATTGTATAAGGTGCATAAATAATTATTTTTTCATACTTCTTAATACAAATCAATAATGATAAGAAAGACCAATCGTAATTTTCAGAAATATTTTTCATGTCAATAAAATAACTATAAAAGATCATCATTTTATCAAGGAAAATTATTTTTTTATGAGCGTACAAACTGTGACCCCATTTTGTCGCATTTCTCGTACATGTAGCTTAAAATTGATATTAAAAAACCCCGTAAAATTCTAAATGCAGTAAAAAGTGTAATGAAGTCCTTAGTGCATTGAATTTTGGTTCTTTGAAAATTGAAAATCCATTTATGTTCAATGCCATCACCATCAGACCTACATAATTCGTCGGAGACGGGGATGGGGTGGCGTGGTGCTAGGGTGTTTAGCCCCCAAACTTTCTTTTGTAAAGACGAACATCATATATTTGCTGGAATATTGACCAATTCATCACATTTTTTTCAAAATGCGTTAATATGGTCAATATTAATGCACTTTGAAAAGAAATATTTTTTTTAAAAGTGCGTTACCTATGTCCCAAATTTAACACACTTTGAAAATTGTTTCGAAGTGCGTTGTAACAAGGGCTTGTGTATTTAGACGTTAACTCGGCATTTTGGGCCACTGAACAATGAAGACTTGTGTGCCACTGTTTTTAAAGTCTCGCCCGAAAGATGTGACACTTTTCACTTCAAAGTGCTAATGAACCGTTGCTAGCTATTTTTTTTTATTTTTTTTTATATATTTTATGAAGACACGATTGAGCTTCAAACCCACCATCCCCCGATCACGCAGCGAACTAAACCGAAGCATATTTGATAATCAAAGTCAATCGATGTTTAGATTTATAGCATTTTTTTGTCTTTCAAATTCTAATTCCTAAAATGTAAGCAGTAGTTATATAGGAATGCCATTTCTATAATTAGAGTGATAAATGAGATTTTCTTGGTATAAATCGCAGTATTAACTATCCCGGTGGCATTCAGGAACTTTTTTGACAATTAAATACAAATTTGGAAATATACAAGGTCAGAAAAAATGCTTTATTACATTAATGAATATCACATGTTTTGTGGTTTATAGTTAAGAATGATAATGATTTTATATATTAAAATTAAATATTTTCAAGATGCTCATGAAAGAAACTTTTAATCTCCATGCTTAATATTTATGTTCAATAGTTGTGAAGTCATTAAAAAAGAAAAGGGTTAAGATAACGTACAACGATCAATTCCATTAAAAAATAAATAGGAGATATTTGAGTCAGGACAATAATATTTTACTCATTAACAAATTAATAATAATAAAAATAAAACTGAATTATAAAACTAATAATAAAAAAAAAAGTTCGAGTTATCTCGCTTTGCTCAATAACATTTTTGAAGTAATAAATTAAACAACTGATGATTTTTAAGAAACTTGGTCTGACGTATGAATCATTGACAGATGTCAGCAAATTGTCAGAGTCCTGTCACGTGGTCTTCTGTGATAAATGACTCTCAAGCATGATGCAGAGCCCGGCTTATCGCGGACCGTAATGAAAGCGCAAGCGTTTTTAAGTAGTTAAATATAACTAACCTTGGTCGCAAATAAAAAATAGTTTTTCATTGACTTGCTTTGTGAATCTTGCAAGGAAAAGACATTTAAACATATCACTGATTTTTTGACGTGACACATTACACGTTAAACCGTTTGCGAATGAATGTTGAAATACATCCTTTGTTTATTCTGTTAAAAAGCAAATTAAGTAAACTATTTAAATTATTATTAAAAATGGAATAGTTAAATATGTTAGCTTTGATTATTGTAAGTTAAATATTGTACTTCTAACCCTTATGATAAATCTGGAATGCCTCTAAGTAAGTACAATAAATTTGCTATGAGGAAACAGTGAGATAGAAGTCAAATCAAAGATCAACAACCAATTGCATTTAAGATATAAGTAAGACTGTAATGTCATCAAGCATTGATACAATTAGTACATATCAGCAGAATGCATTAAAATTAACGCTTGATTGCATTTATAGTTTTCATACCCTCTATGAATGAAAACTTGCACATTTCATTTTGATCTCATCAGTACTAATATACACATTTGCATTTATATTTACAGAAAAAATGAAACACCTTTTAAAGAAGGGCTTTTATAAATTAAATTTTAGAACTTTAAAGTAAATCAAAACACAAGCATGCTCTCTGGTTTAAGTCATTTTTTACGAAGGATCTTTTGTTTAGCTTGCTGCATCATTCCAACCTTCTGTAAAGCAAAACGGAAAATAAAGTTTAATTGCCATAATTATGTTGATTAATGTTAGAACATAAGGGCGTATAAAACAAGAAAATGCTTTATATAATTAAAACAAAATTCCAATCACCGTGACTTGCAAACCATATAAAAGTACAGAAATCTTTTAAAATCATGATATAGGAGGAATCACAGAATTTCAATTTTTGATAACTTTGGGAATCCTGGGAGTTTTCATTAAGGTTCCAATGCTTCTATTGTTTGCACATTTATTTAACATTTTCCCAATTTGGAATCAATTAAATCACGCACCCACCTCAACAAACCACGAAAACCAAAATTTATTCAGATCTGTATCACAAATCTACTTTTGATAGCTGATCAATGAACTTCTGTATGTAATATTTGCAAAGAAAAATGGTAACTTCACCAAGGTCTACTTTCAATTATGTTTTGCAGATTGATGGATTATATTTTAATGTTTTTCAGACTGAAATTTTTGACGAAGTGTTCTTTAAAAGCCTTAATGTGGGCGATATTGGTTGTTAGAATCAAGTTTGACGGGCTTATAGAAGTTTTTTTTCTTTTTTCATTTACATACTTGAAGGAAACACGTTCTACAGGTGTAGAAGGTGTTTTATTCATAGATGGTTGGAAAACATAAACGATGACACGGAAAACTATCTTCCCCCTCAAAAAATAACACAATTTGACCTAAAAATGATTTTTTTCCAATGATCTATCTTGCTTGTAAAACCCCTTTTGTGCATTTTGGTAATTTTGAAGTTCTAAAACATAAACACTATAGAAAAGAAAAGAATAAAAAGATAGAAAGAAACGTGTAAGAAGTGCAGTTTGAATTATGTATTCATATGTTCTCTAACAATGAGAGATCTACGTTTGGCTTTTTATATCATGGTATTTTTTCTGTCATTTTCATAAATATGGTTGCTGGAATCTGCTAGAATCGATGTTCTTATTATCTATCATTAAATGTTGCATTTGGATTATTCTTCACTTTCCTTTCTAGATATCATCTATTTTGCTGACAGGTTGGGTGTTCACAGTCCTTCTTCAGTTTTCTACATGTAATAGTTCATATTCATATTTAAGGATAATACGACACAGTTATGCAATGAGTGATTTTTTTTCTCATTCTAAAGAATGATATTTCCGTTACCAATTTTCATAGGGGTAACTCTCGTTAGGCCATGTGGATATTACTAGTAGAATGTGTTGTGAATTAATATTTATCTGTTTTATTTATTTGTTTGGTCAATAAATGTTGGATTTTCTTTTCAGTGTAAAAAAAAAGTAAATGAATTTTGCATAATACTTTTGTATTTAAACAACAGTGATTTGTTTGTAGACGTTTTGTATACAAAATATTTATATCTTTTTTTTCTTCATTTTTTAAAAATCGACTAAAACGAGGAAAGAGTCATTGCAAAGACATAACGAACTTTTTGTTAAATTGTTATGATTTGTTGGTTAAAAAAAATCAATTTATATTTTTTTACAAAATAAAATAAAAGTGAATTCACTTTTATGATTTTATATATTTTTAAAATATTCTTTATTTTTGTTAAATAATGTGGGCATATGAATTACAAGATTTAAAACTGAAAAATAAAAGAAAAAAATGAAAGGTTGTATTTTCCATATTATTTACTGTTACTCAAGAGAGAAACCTAAAGTCCTGGGAATTTTATTTAAGGCATTTAGCCCGTTAGCTTGATTATTATAGTAATCTTTTATACTTTACATCTATATATCTTTTATTGATTTGATATCTCTTTTATTTGATTTAATTATTACGAATGATAATACAAAATGTATAAATAACTGGATTTTAGTGTCTTAACATTGCCTTTTGATAATGTGTTTTTAGATTCTGCAATATCCGTGTGTCGATGTCCTTTTTTCTTGTTTGTTTTCTCATATATAAAAGTCAACTTTCAATTCTCAGCTAATAAAACTTTCATTAAGATGTATTTATTGTTTTGGTAACGTGGAATGAAGGGTTGTGAAATGAACTATCAAAATAAAATGAAATTTTTACATAACGTTCCGTATAATGGAAGAGGTGTCTGTGTGACAGGCTTTTATAGCATTTGTTCTTTGTTAACGACTTGCGATCATAACAAATAAATATTAAATCTTTATATATTTTGAATATGCAATATCAAAGAGAAGTTGATCGTTTATTACAACATCGACCTATTTTATGCAAATGTAATTTTTAAAAATGCATTTAAAAAAAACAACAACAAATAAACATGAAAAAACTGGTTTTCCATTGTCAAGTTTGCATTTTTACCTCAATGAGATATTTAAAAACAAATCGAAGATACATTGTATTTTACTGATTGGATCGCAGAAAATGCTAATGTAGAGAGTAAAAGAATAATTGATTAAACATTTTATAACTTGTCAAAATTAAAAAAAATAACAAAATTGACTGATTTGCGGTGTTGAAAGTTGCTTGGTTTCTCACAATCAGAATTCACATGGCAAACACCTTTCAAAAAAGCCATCAAGGCTTTTTGTCCTGCGACGTGGTTGCTTTTTCATTTTTCTTGCCAAATTAGAGGTTGATCTTACTTTGATCTGAGATTAAAAGCCCAAAGTTTAATTTGGATTCCAAAAAATACATACACGGCCTGATTATCCCCCCTTTTCATCTACAGTCGCTTATTACTGTATTGTCAATAATCCCTACTCGTCTAACGGGTTTGGCGATTCCTTGGCGCGGCTTTTATGAAAGGATATTGACTTTGGTTTTCTGACGATTTGTATCGCTGATGGAATTCTGATTTTGTCAATCAAAATTAAAATGTAAGACTGAAATCATTTTCGATTTCTTCTTTTCATTTGACCTTGATTGACAGTTGACTGGCGACGATCTTTTTAAATATTTTTATTTAGTGAGATAATAGCCTTTGAAATGAGAAATCATTAGTAATTAGGGGGTTTGAACGATTTCTGTTCGTCATCTTCTCAAGTTTCTTGTGGAAATAGAATCGTCACAATGATATAGGTGTCATTATCAAAATTTCTCAAATTCCTTTGATTTTCATTTGTAACAAATTGCAGCGGGAGTTTTCCAATTGTAAATAATTCTCAGTATGTACAAAGCTCATCAGTGGCTTATGTAATTATTAACTAACATTACTCAACGTTTAACTTTTTAGAAAATCTTTTCTTTATCAAATTGGAGAGAAATCTGAGATTTTAACTATATATTTGCAGAGATTAAGACTTGCGGTGGTATGTTTACTTTTGATTTTTCTCTATCAGTTTAATCATTTAGACCTTTTTTGGAACACGGCGAGAGACATAATGATTCGGTTTGATAAGTAGACTAAGGACCTATACTAACGGATAAATGTTCAAAAGCCACTCTTCAGCATATTTATTGCAGGATTTCCCCTCAATTTTTTCTTAAAAGAATATTTTTAATTTCTTTGTTTTTTTTAAATAGGAACTTGCAAAGAAGAGAAAGGAGTGATTTGTAAAGCAGATATTGAATAGTGTCCTGTTGGTATAATATTTCTACATCTACATCGCACCCAATTGTAGCTGAGACACGTACCGTAAACGGAATAGAATCAATGGAATGCGGTTTTCATGCAATAACATTGACATTCACCGTAAAACAAATTAAAAAGTACAGATTGCAAACTTTGACCGTGTCTGGAATTTTATCTCTGATGTTTTTGTCATGTAAGACCTTGATTGGATATTATCCGCAGATGATTCAATTATGGAGTTTTACTGGCTTTAACATCTGATGCATATTCTGATATCTTGCAAGATCAAGCTGATATCATAAAAAAAGACAATGATAAAATTCTTTTATCAGACCTGTTGATGTTGGAACATAATTGTGTGTCTATAGGGCTTTACAGGAAGAAAGAAGAAAAAGCTTTATCAAACTTTATTCCGCATTTATTATATTTTTTTCTCAGTGAAGTTCACATTTAGTATGTTACATGCACCCAAAAATAAGCATGTAGGGCTCTGCAAACATTAAAAGTTCTGTTTCAGAAACATAATTTCGACCATGTTCTTTTGTTGATCTTAAACACATTTATACTTATTTTTATATGTAAAACGTTTTGAATTAACAATGAATACTTCTTTCAAATTATGAACTAATATTCTATATGAGCAGATAATTGAACCTGTATTTAAACTGGGTAAATATTTTCATAAATTAGATGTCTTCGAATATATTATCTATTAAAAGTTGTCACTTGAACATTGAGAAATTATTTCGAAGAAGGGAGGGCATATTGCTTTGCTGCTGTCTGTCGGTCTGTCGGTCCACTTAGTTTTCCGTTCACTTTCTTCGCAACCGTTGCACATACTGAAATGAAATTTGGTATACAGGTATATCACAGAATATCTAGGTCAAGTTCTGTTTTGGGTACGATCGCACCATATTTGACAGAGTTATGCCCCGTGGACTTAGAAAAAATTCAATTATTCGCAGTTTCCGTTCATTTTCTTTGCAACCGTTGCACATACTGAAATGAATTTTAGCGTACAGATTTATCAGAGGAATATCTAGGTCAAGATCTGTTTTGGGTACGATCGCACCATTTCTGACAGAGTTATGTCCCTTGGACTTAGAAAAATTCCAATTATTAGCAGTTTCCGTTCATTTTCTTTGCAGAGGTTGCACGTAATGAGATGAAATTTGGTATACAGATTTATCAGATAAATATCTTGATCAAGTTCTGTTTTGGGCACAATCGCGCCATTTTTGACAGAGTTATGCCCTTTTGGACCTAGAAAATTCCAATTTAGGGGGAGGGGGCATAAGTGTTTTACAAACATCTCTTGTTTACTTAAGGAGTATTGAATGAAAATACTTGTATAGTGTATTTTGTCATTTTATACCCTTAAAAATACTGAAAGTCCTTGTACAATGAACTAAGAGTTGTGTTATTGGCGAGAAAATCGAAATAAATAAGACGATTGATCAGATCCAGAAGGCATATTACAAAAGGAGATAACTGATGTATTCCAAAACTTAAGAGATCCAAACAACTTGACATGAACTAGCGAAAAATGAAAGAGATTGAATGCCTACTTGTAGTATTAGTCGAATAATTATTATTTATGCCGAGTAAAAATAGCAGAAGAACGTTATAATACGAGCACTCGAGATGGATTCATAGGAAGGTCGGCTTTGATCATAGGTCGACTCGTTGGGCTATCTTTCTATATCCCTACTCTCGGGGGATTTGTTATTGACACTACAAAGTTTATCGACATATCAATTGATAAATCTTATGGAGAAGAGGTATCTTTTACTAATTAATAACAAAAATATCTATACATTAATTGTTGTAAACTTATCGAGGCACGCCCGGAAGAGGTTAGAAATTGAAAATAGGAAATGTTTTAATGGTGAAATTGTTGCCGATATATGTTTATTATATTCGTAATGGAATTGCTACAAGAGTATAATTAACGAATCAGGACATTATTGTTCATGTTAAGCAGAACGTGAAATGCCAAATTATAGCTGCAGAATTATGCAAACAAATTGCAGAACATTCGGCCTTTATAATTATTGTTCTTATAGTATTCCATTCAAAATGCTGTATAAAGGTAATTTATAACCCTTTCAATGTTTCTGAATGTATTCTAAATCTTTGAGAAAGAGTAGAAATGGAAAGGTAAAAAGTGTCTTCATTTGATATTAAAGCGGATAGTTTTATGCTCTCCCCTGAAGAAGGAAGGTCATATTGCTTAGTGCTGTCGGTCTGTCTGTCGGTCCTTCAACAGTTTCCGTTCTTCGCAGGGGTTGCACATACTGAAGAAGAAATTTGGTATATATATTTATCATAAGAATACTAAGGTAATGTTTTGTTTTGGGATCGAGCAATTTTTGACACAGTTATTCCCCTTGGACTTAAAAAGATCCAATTATTTGCAGTTTCCATTCATTTTTTTTCCTGTATGTATGTTTAGGGGCGGGGAATAAGTGTTTCATAAACATTTCTTGTTTTCTTAGTAATGCTTTGTAAGAAACCGTATATCATTAATCCACAGATCACTCTAAGAATCAAATAAATGAAAGTTATGAAATTCAGTAAGGTAGAGAAGGGAAGGGCGTCTTCCATATATCTTAAGCCAGTGAATTCAAAGGATTTATAACCATGCAAAGAAGAGATTTAATGTAACGTCTTCAATATCAGAACCTCGAAAAGAATCCGTAACAGTAAGGGGCTTATAGAATACATTTCCTAGTTACATATGGTAATGATTAAATGTAAGGAAAGATGGGCCTGCTTAATATATTGGTTGATTATTCCATAGATGATAGTAAATTAAATGTTATGAAAACTGAAACGCAGATAGTTGATAAAAAAATAAGAGCGGTCGTTTAAAGTGTATCCGCAGCACGTCCTGAAGATTTAAGGATTAATTACCGGAGTTAGAATACCTGGAAATGGTTCACCGTTACCAAGTGATCTCTAAGGGTTGAGGCAAAGGTATCAGAAAGTAAGGGGTAAAAAAACGCCCATGGTACACTATTGATTTGATTTGAAAATTTTCTATCCAATCAGATACGTATATTTTCTTATCAGATACATGCTATGCTCGTCATTCTACGCCTGAGGTCTTGAGTGTGATCTATAACTCACAAGGAAACCTCCCATAAAACATCTCCTAGTGCTGCTGTACTCTTCAGTTTTGTTTTCCTGTTTGTAAATCAGTTCAAAATGGTTTGATTGAAAATCAATATATAGGGCTTCTACAACAGCCAATGAGACAATCTAAAGAGAATAGGAATTGGGATCAAAATTATTTTCTTTGTACGAAATCGGAAAAAAAGATATTATATTACGTCCTTTGTAAAATAGACTGCACAATTATTAAAAAAAATATAGATATACATTAATTTAAATTGTTCGTCTGGGCTTCACAAAGGAGTAAGTAATAGGAGCAACCAATGAGGAATTTGCACATAAATTTTTTTGTGTGTTTTAAAATACAGCATTTTCTTAGAAGTTCAAGGCGAATATAAATATAAGGAAATAAACTAGTTTAGGCCTAAATATATACTGTAAATTGTCAAGGAACTAAAATCATTCAATGAATTTGCGTATCGTAAATTTTACTATATAATTTTGCAGACATTAAAACTTATTGTATATAAATAAGCTATTTTTCTATATTTTATAACAATGCCATGTGTTTCCATACTACTTTTGTAATCTTAAATATAAATCAATTTAGTGAAAGAGGAGACATTAAATGTACCATTACCAAAACGAATTCTAACCTTAGGGAGAGTTCAGTGTGAAAAAATAATTTTTCTTGTAAAAGATGGCCCTGCTTAAAGTATATAATAACAATATACCAAAAGTGCAGAAAAGGTGCGACTATAAAAGTGCATTTTGAAAGTGTTCTTCGGATCCTCGACTACGTTGATGAATGACCCATTGGTTTATATATGGAATAGAAATTTAAGTTTCTGTCTGTCCAAATACTTTCTATCGAGGGATGATATACGGCATGGTGTAAAGAAAAGGTCCGTCTTTTTTGTTGTCGACATATGGCCTTCAAAATCGTGTTCGTTTCCTTGTATATGTCATTTAATGGGACCATCCTGCATTTGAATGTACGTGTTTCTGACCTAAATTATTTTTTTGGCTAGAAAAAAAGCACATTTATCAAAATTTGGCACTTTGCAGCGTTGGCGAGGTTTAGTTATTTTAATTTTGGCATACAGTTTTATAGAACAATAGGACGGAGAGGCAAAACGCATCTTTTTTTATGAATTTTATAAATGGATATTTCATTGCAAGGAAAAACCTTGGCGACTCTTTGTAATAAATAAAATACAATTAGTAAGCAATATGCAAATAAGGATATAAATTATATGTTGTTATGTCTGTAATTGCTACTTTATGAAATGCTAATAAGACACATGTTAGATACGAAACAGTTTAATGCTGTTAAAACCTGGCGCTCTTTATTTCCAATAAATTGCTATAATTCCATTCCATATATGGATTTCCCTAGGGCATTCCAGTAATTCTGGTTTACCAGCAAAATACTCCAAAAAAATTCCCAAGTTTAAAAATATAACGTTCTGTCTCGTGCAACTGACATTGCTACATCAGTTTTGAGAAATGTTTCCTGTGTTTTAACTGTTAGACTTCTATGAAATATGATGGGCAATTAATGACTAAGATTTTCCATGCATAATTTGGCATTGAAAGTGTAGCTCTCCTCCTTAAAAGTACGTACCAGTCGCCGTCTTTTATACTGGTACATAACGAACACGTTGTCTGTATTAAACGTTTAAATGCTTTCCAACGTGGCCAAGTTGTATGTGTATGGGTAACTGGACATTTTGTATAAGTAATTTGACGAGATTTATTCGACGAAAATGCTTTAAAAATTAGAATTAATCGTCTAATGTAATCTATCATAAATAGGGCAGCTCAGGGTACATTCCCGAATACTTGAACCTTGCAGACATTGCAAAGAAAAACGTTGGCCACGAACTCAGTGAAAAAGAAAAGCGAACTATTTCTACTATCAGTAACATGTTGGCAGTGGTTCTAAAGTTCAAAATCATTTCACCTTCCATGCTGTTGTGAATAAAATAAATGCACATTTCTGAAAGAAGTAACTATATTGCTGCTAAACTGAGACCAAGGAAATATTTTATTTGTAGTACTGAGGTCCTCTAAGCTGGAATGTTAGCATGGTATTTGACAGGCTATGCGTTAAGTTTTCAGAGAACAATTACGGAATTTAAGAAACATTCTCGCTTGATTGCCTTCCATATTTTTATTCTGGATTATTTTGAGCTAGGATCGACCTTCTTCATCCGACCATGCATATTTCACGTAGATTAAAATTAAGACTGTTTCTCATCAACTTTGCATTGTGAATGAAACTTTCTATAAAGTCTTCTGCATTATTGGACTAGGCATAGTGTTGTAAAAATATTGTGAAAAATTCTTAGTAAACAAATATGGAAGTAATTTAAAAACCTTCTTTTGTTGAAAAGTGTAGAAAA